CCCAGAAGAATTTCTGGTACAAATTCCTGGGGTGGGAGACACATTCTGTCTGTCACATCTATAACTGGTAAGTGAAACCTGGCATGCTTTTCTGAATCCCTGAGCCAAGGGGAAGCTTTGTTGTCTTCTACATTTCCACTGATTTTACCCACTCTGTCTACTACTACTCCCTTCTCAATTCCCTTGCCCTTGGCCCAGCCCACAAAATCCTCTGCCCCAACTGCCCCATACTAGTGGTTCTAAGTAATGCGTGACATCTTGGGGTAGGGACCAGTCCAGGCATGATTTCATTACCAGAGTGTTAGTCCAGCCAGTGCCTAGTGGAAGAGACATGCCAAGCAGGAGCTCTGGCCAGGGAAGGGCTCTGGCCAAAGATGAGAACTCCAACTAAGCAGATGAGACCCTCAGCCCTCAAGGGAGCCAGAATAGGCTAGGACATGAAGCCAGGCAGATTATGCACTGGGGACAAGGCAGAACCTCAAGCCTTATATTTGTGGATGAATAGAGGACTTGGGAAGAGACAGGAGAATGGTATTCAAGTTTCTATAATATTTTATATACCTGGCACCCAGAGCTCATTTGTGCCACTCCAGTTATGGGGTCTGTTGGCTTCAGGGTATGTTACGAGTGCCAGCAGATATTGAACATAATGATGTTGGTATTCTTTTTGTCCCATCACCACTGGCTTAAGAATGGGATGGAGTCTGACTTTGTAAGAGGTTTATCCATGTTTGACCCTGGAGAAGACAAGGGTGGGAAGCCACAGTGGGGCTGATGGGTTCTACCTCTCCTCACCCTACCAGCCAACCCTTCCAGCCTTCAGGGAAAAATGGGTTGTCCTTGGTCTCTCTGATTTCTCCCCCCCCCCACCATCCCCAGCACTTGCTTGGTGTGCACAATAGTCCCATGAGGTGAGTGAGTCAGATATTCTGATCATTTGCAGATGAAGAAAAGGAGTCTCAGGGAGGTTGGTAACTTGTACATAACAGGCCTAGGTTTGGCTCTACCTTCTGATTTCTGTAAACTCCAGTTCTCTCATTAGGCAAATGGAACAATGAGACTAACCTCACTGTTTCCTGTGAAGATTATTTGGATAATATATGTGAAATCACTCTGTAAGCTGTTATTTAACTGCCAGTAATTTTTTTACTATCATAATTAGGACTAGTTTAAAAACCTTTAATCTCTGAATCCAATACCCTTTCTTACCAAAATTGCTTATTCATCCATCATTTATTCAGTAACAATCTTTGAATGTTCACAAGGAGTCAGGTGCTCTACTGGACCCTGGAAATAGAAAGATAAAATAGACAATTAAGAGGAGAGCATAGGCTAGAGGTAAATCAGGCCCTCAGAAGGTGTGCGGCAGGTGGTTGTCACCACCAAGGGTGTGTGAGCAGTGTGGCAGGGGACCAGAGGGCAGCGTGTGGCTGTGCTAAGTGGGGGACTGGCACTGGGGAGTCTCCACCATCTCATAACGTGCTCCCTGGCCTCGTGCTCACAACTCTCCCTCTCCTGTGGGACAAGTTTCACTCCAGGAAACCTTGATGGGTCTACAATAGGGAGACTGCTAACACTAACCTGTGGGGCCTGCTAACTCTGCTGAACCTGCTGGAGGCCCAAATGATATCATGCCTGATTTGTAAAAACAACAACCCACAAAACAAAATAACAAAAAAAATCTAAACTGTTAAACAAAGTACCATAAATTAGAATGACTAAATTTATGTAATAACTAATTGAGACAGAAGGAAAAAATAATATCACCAAAGACAACCAAAAATCAGAATTTCTAATTTGTAAGTTAGAGGGGAAATCTCTTAATCTGGAGTGTATTGCTTCCTGTGGTGTATTTAATTACGATTAATTACTCTAAAATTTATAAGCCAGGGTTCTATCACACCTAGTTGAACAAACTTTCCATCATCCTTACAGAATAAAACTACAGCACTAGAGAGTGACCTCAGTACGACCTTGGGCTGACAGTATTTGTCACGTGGGGTCCAGATGAGGAGTGAGCCCGCAGCCCATTGCTGCTCAGAACCTTAAGATCAGTGGCTAAGATGCCCTTGAAGGGGCTTCATGGAGCAGAGACACCTGCCCACACAGTTATTTGAGTCAACCCAGTGCCATACACTGGCCAATAACCCCTAATTAATTGCCACAAACTCCACCATAAGCAGTAGCATTTTGCAGACTGGGAAATTGAATCTCATAGTTCAAGTTGTTATTGGCAGAGACTACACAAAGCAGAAAGACTACTACTGATGACACAGCTGGGTCCATAATGACAATATGGCCTCTTTTTAAAAAATCGGACTTGAAATATTGGTACAAATTCGAGTAGAACTGGGCATTGCAGGCACTATTTCTTTATCGATGTCCATTAGTCCCCAAACATGCAGAACACCTTTTATTATACATGCTCACCACATATTTAAAAAAATGAAAGTATTTGGAACTGCGAAGCATCTTCAGGATTTTCAGATTCAACCTCCCTTCTTTTTTTTTCTTCCAGTGAGGAAACTGAGGCCCCAAAGGAGGGAAATCAAGGCTAGCTGTAACAAGGGCATACATTGTCTGCCACCAGGACCCCAGCATAAGGTTGTGCAGGTTGGGCACTGCACAAAATCAACTGGGTGAGGGGATGGATGGGGCATGTAGTCCAGTCCACAGCTGCACTGAAGGGAGGTGTGTCTCTTTTGTTTCACAAAGGGACCATCTACTCACCCAGCCAAGTGGGGGCCATGTCTGCTCTGAGAAATGTTTGGTTACATAAGAGTGATATTAAATGAACAGAGGCACAGATTGCTAAGCGTTTTATAGGGTTGATTCCTTCTGCCTTTTTGTAAGCAGAAATGGCGTGATTTTTGCTCTTCTGTGACCTACTGTATCTTTGTTTCTCTGTATGTTTATATTTATATTGGCAAATGGGTAAGAGGGCTAGTGCAGAGAACAGAGGCAGCACTCGCCCACCCTGGGGGCACCCAAGTTATGTTCCATACATACCTGTCTGTCAGACTAAACTCTAAGTTCTTGTCCATTTCTGCTTCTTGGAGTCCAGTCTATCATCATGGTCAACCTTGTACAAGGACCCAGGGTGGAGGTCATGGGGCACCACAGGCAGGAGAAGATATCTTCCTGGGCCATAGGGAGGCCATGGTCTAATGCATCTGTTCATTCACTCAGTAGTAACTTTGAATGTTTATACCCCACAGACACTAGGGGAGAGCCTTCAAGAAATGTGCACAGAGAAAAAAGTAAAGGGAGGCCATCAAAACACTTTTAAAGTGTTTATAAAAATAAGACAAACCAGGCTTTGCATACAAATGATTAAGCAGGTGGATAAGGCATATTTGTCCATTCTTTTTCAGAATAAGAAATTAATTAGACACTCTGCGTTTTCAAAAATCTTTTACTTTGTCCTCTTGTGAATTCTCTTGGTGCTTCCTGGGCCCTGCTCTAGGTTGAGTTCTTGCCCATGGGTCTCAGAGCCCCCGGAGTAGCAGAACTTGAACATTTACTCCTCCCATTCACTTCTAACCTTTTGGAAATGACAGGCCCTTCCTGGGGTAGAGCTTTTGAGCAGTAACCACAAGGGTCACATGAGCCTGGGCCTCAGTCTGGAGTAATCTGGGCCAATGTACAGCTGCCCTATGTCTGACTCCTTTTAGAGGAGGCCTTATCTGATTAAGCCTTAATTAAATACCAGATATTGGAGAGCAGACCATCATCAGAAACTGCTAGTGGGCACTTCATCACCTGCATTACCCACTGTGAAGACAGGAAATAAAGCCAGTGACCTGTGTGGCCTTTGCCATCTAGAAGCCTACAATTTGAATTCATTTTAGTGAAACTGAGATTCAGAACAGATGTAAGTTTTTTTTTAAAAACTCCTGAGTCAGGCCATTGTTCAATTTTTCCAGCAAAGCTCAGGCATTGTGTAATTTTTCAGAAGATGACACAAAAAGAGAGTTTCAGAGCATGAGCATGTGTAATCTTTCATAGGAAATGTTCAGATGAAACCAGCCAACCAATCCATCACCCTGTCAATTTCACTGCAGCATCCAAGAGAGATTTTGCTCTGATCTTTTCAACAATGAATACACAAAGAGACTCCAAAATTAGGTGTACGTGTATGTCAAACCAATAAAAACCCAACTAAGAAGTTTTTCCTGCCATAGAAGGACCAGAGGGTCTTGGAAGTGACTCATCAGAAGCCACTTAGAGCAGGGGCTTGGTCCTCGACCTGTCCCCTTCAATTCCCTATGGGCGGGTCAACAAGGGGGAGATGCCAGATAGGGTCTGTGCCCTGATCCTGGTACTTCACATATGTTACTTCATTTCATCAGTACAGCCACCTGCTAAGTAGATGTCACTTTCCTGAGTTGTTCTCTAGGGAATTGGAGTTTGGTTTAGTTAAGTAACTTGAGAAAAGTAACACAGCTAATAATGAGACTATCCAGCACTCAAATCCAAGTTTCTCTGACTGCAGAGCCCATGCTCTTGTCAAAACACTAAGTTGCCTCCCTCATGAACCGACTGGGAGATGAGCCCTGGCTGTAGACAGATGCAGGAGCAATAGAGGAGTTGCTCCAGCCTTCTTCTGGTTTGAATTGTCACAGGAGCTTAACATGGGGTGGGGGCCATGAGAAGGGCATTAGAGTCATGGCATATCAGACCTGAGCTCTATTTCTCAGCCACCATGTAACCTCTCTAAGCCTCAGTTTCCTTAGTGCTAAATAATAAGAATAAAGTTTATTTCATAGAGTTTTTGGGAGGATTACATAATATTATGTATGTTGTGGGTTTAGCACAGCCCAGCACATAGTAACTGCTCAATGCATTTTAGGGGCAAAATGTGCAAGTAGCTTTCAGTTCTCTCATCAACTACATGGTGAAGGGTGAGGTATGTCCCATCCCAAAAATAGAACCAGAACTGAGCTAAAACCTGTAGAACTGGCTTTGCCAAGTGTGGCCTCGGGGTTCTTATTTTCCAGTCATCACCATATTTAAGGGTAAAGTGGAAGAGGTGGAGCTGCCTGTGGAGAAGGTTGACATTATTATCAGCGAGTGGATGGGCTATTGTCTCTTCTATGAGTCAATGCTCAACACAGTCATCTTTGCCAGGGACAAGTGGCTGGTAAGTGTCCTGCATGCTTTGCCCTGTTGGTCTCTGGCTGTCTTTCTGCTATACCATTGCCCTAGAGTCTAGGAAGAATATGCGGTCTTGGGCTAGAAGGTCACCTTTTCCAGTTCCCCCTCTTTAAACCAGATCTGCTTCATGGAACAGAACAATCGTCCCTGAGTCCAACATATCCAGCTGTCACAATGTTCTTCTGTAGGTCTAACCTTGTCTTCTTTTGCCATAATAGAAACTCATTCTGTGTTGTCAAGACAAAAGTTATTTTGGTCAACAAATACTTAGGGTTGCATGGCTGCCAGAGAGCCAAGAGTGCTTCTGATCTTGGCTTCTCCAGGTTGAGAGGTCATACCATCTTCCACTGTTCCACAATGGACTTATCCTCACCCCTCCACACTCCCACCACTTGATCGGCTCTGTCGATTCCACCTGGGCCCCCAAATTCTCCTTGCTCCAAAATAAAAGGGGAGCATTGCCATCTGAGCCCTAGGTGACAGTCTGCTGAATGAGAAATGTTGGTTGGCAAGGGGATGTCTGTCAGGTGACTCTATGTGCAGTTCAAAATGTGATGTCTTTGTCAGGTGAATAGATTACAAGACCCATTTCCCCACAATTCATCAACAGAAACCAGGAGGGCTTATGTTTCCAGACCGGGCAGCTTTGTACGTGGTAGCAATTGAAGACAGACAGTACAAGGACTTCAAAATCCACTGTAAGTCACCTTTTTGTGCTCCACTGGGACATGATTTATTTATTTATTTATTTATTTTTGCCCATTTAGGGTGGGAGGCATTTCAGTGGGCTGGAGATGAGCAGCTAGTCTATAAACACACTGCAGTGTCTGTGGAGTTCCCCTGACTCTCCCTGGGTCCTTCTCTCTAGTCCCATGGGTGGGAGGTCTACAGAGAGAAAATAAGCAATACACCTGATATAAGATAAATATCCTGAGGTGAGAGAATAAATGCAATGTGAATGAAAAATCAATTGAAGCCACAGAAGCTGAGCTTTTGCAAAGAATAGCGGGCCAGGTGGCTAAAAGTCTACCACAGGGGTCAGAAGTGATAGGTCTTTAGCCAGGCCAATCATTCTGACTCCTGCCTTCATAGTAGTCAAGCTTATCAAAATGACATTGGTTCTTTTTCACACTAAGTAAAATGTGCATTCTTCTCTGAGGTTCTTTGGGGGAAACAGTGGGGGTGGGAAGATATGGAGGCAGCACATGTGTGCGTGCGTGCCTGTGTGCATGTATGTATGTGCAGTGAGGGAGACTCGTATCCAAACCTGTATTCATAGTGCTTTTATCAGTTGAAAACATGTTCTCTTAGGGTAAAAAATCCAGAAAATGTCTTGATTGTTTTATCTGGTTCAGAAAGGATTGCTTTGTTCTATTTAATTTAAAGGATAACATTTCTCAGTGACACAAGCCTGATCTTGAATGAGATTACAGCAGAACTTTCCTTTTATAAGGCCAGAAATGGCCATGTCTCCCCAACAGAAGTAGACTTGACTAAGGAGCAAAGAACCCCTCCTCACACAAGTATCACACACACAGTTTAGCCCAAAGCACAATGCAGAAACACCTGAAGTCCCATCAACTCAGCAGATCTGGAACTCCTGCCCCTCCAGTGGTTCATCCCTCTTTGCAAGATGACTGTGTAGGGGTCACAGTCCAAGCAGATGAGGAAATGCCTCCTGCTCTGAGAGACTGAGACTCAGTAGGATGGCAAGTTGATTCACAGAATTTCCAACAAACAGTTGTTAGTGCCACTGACAAGACCTCAGCTGGACTATGCTATGGAATGTGTGCATTTGTGTGTGTCCATACCCTCAGAAAGTGTAACATCAAAGCATGGATCAGAAGACAGAAATGGGATAGTTGTTTGAGGCTCTGTGCCCTCTGCTTCCAGCCACTCTGGCATCATTTCCAACATTTGATGAAGATTGAGAAGATGGCTCAATTAGATGACCATGCTTTGAAATCTGCTGGCCTTGGGTTCAAATTCTACCTGGGTCACTGAGCAAATTACCTAACATCCTTGAGCCTCAGTTAGAGAAAATATCACTAATCCTATAGCCCTTTCATGAGAATTAAGAGTGAGAACACAACAGTTCTTGGTGCTACAGGGCACCAGACTGGTCTAGTCTCTGCCTGTGTCAGTCACTAAGCTTCTTTCTGCTCCTGGCTCTGGCAGGAGAGCCTCACTGCTATACTTTCTGGCCTCCAGTGGCTCACAATCTGGGACAGATGTGATCTCACGGTAGATTGCAGGAACAACTCAACAGTGAACATTGATGAAATAAATGTATGTGTACATAGGACACAGTTTGCCCTCAACAGTGAACATTGATGAAATGTATGTGTACATAGGACACAGTTTGCCCTGGAGCTGCATTATAATGCTGCTTTTGGAGTTCTTGCTGTGTAACTGTACCAAATAATGTTTTGAAGAGAAACTTTAAGTGCATTCTTCATTCTCATGTGTACTTAAATATTTATTGAACTCCATCCCTGGGCATAGCTCCTTAAGGAACTTCCTCATGGCTTAAAAGCAAACATATCTTTTACTCCACTCTTCCCTGGGTTGTGTTTGGGAACCTCTGGCAGGTGCACCTGGTCATGAGCCTGTTGGGGCCAAAAGAGGGCTGGGCAGGCTCTGAGAGCTACTAGGGGCAGTACCAATACCCAAGTGCCAGCCGAGAACTGGAGATCATGTGATGTAGCCTTGCACTGCCTATTGCAATTTTCATAGCTCCTGGGAAACAAAAAATGGAAAATCAGCCTCGTTTTTTTCTTGTGAAATGCTTGCTGTGTAGTATCTGTCAAAAAACAAACAGAAACAGAAATTAAACACCCATTTAAAATTTATTTTAAATACTGCTAAGTTTTTCTGTTGGAATGTGTTTTATAAATGATCTGTTTTTGTTTGTATGAAAGGAAGCAAAGCCATTTAGAAATCTGTTTCAAATAAATGAAGATTTTGGTTACTCTGAGTTTTAAATCAAAAGTAAGCATAAATGTTTCTGGTTGCTAAGGGAACAATAGTAAGCAAATTTCAGTTGGCTGAATAACCTGCTAAAAGAGAAAAATCTTGAAGTGGGGCAGGAGAGTGAGACATGCCCAGTCCCTTTCCGAAAATAAATTGTTAGGAAAACAGCCTCCTTTCCTCTCCTCTTCTCTCCCCACCTTTCCTCTCCTTTCCTTTCTCAACCACATTGCAACATGGGAACACAAGAATGAGAGAAATACAGAATCTGCCCTCAGTTTGATCACCAAATACTAGAAAATACATAAAAAGTGAGACAAATGACTGACATATACTAGGCTTGTAATGCATATTTGGTTGAGTGAGTGCATGAGTGAACAAATGAAGGAATAAAAGTAAGTCAGCAGAGGAATATGCAAGGTGTCCTGTCTAAACCTGAGAGAGGGCAATCATTTGTTTAAAATTTCTACTATAGAGGAGAATTATATAATCTCAAAACTGGGAGAAAACTTGGTGAGTGTTCTGTTTGATTCTTTACCCAATACATGAATCTCACCCAATCCACCAATCTACAAAATGCTGAGTGTTGGAGTGATGGACACAGCTTCCTGGATTATGGGAAAATGCAAAGGAAGGTCTGTTGAGCTATTGGTGCCTGCAGCTGGAGGGTGGAGGCAGTACTTCCTGCAGGGCTGAGCTGCTGTCCATGGTTTCTCCTCCACTTTCACCCCCTAAATCCGGAGCTCTAGTCTCTGGCTCTGGGCTAATTAATACATGGAGTTGACTGAGTTCCTAAGACTCTAAAATATATAAAACTATTGTAAACACCTTTTCTTCTGCCTAGAGGAGAAACTAGAAGTGGAGCCTGGTGGCACTTGCTCTGTTCTTCTCCAAGGTGGTCCCATTAACCCTAGCAGAGAACCACCAGTTGCTGGGGCCAGGGTGGGGAGGGAGTATATAGCTATAGCTCTTGCCAATGAAAAGTAAAGTTTGTTTTCCACTACTTCATATTTCTTTTCCTCCGGCTGCTTTTGAGATTTTCATCAAAAACACTCATCAACTGATATTCATCAGTTGGATTCCAATGTGTGTAGGTGTGGGTTTTTTTTTTGTTTCTATCCACTTTTGGTTCTATGGAATTCTAGGATCCATGTGCTGATGATTTCATTAGTTCAGGAAAAATTTCAGTTATTATCTCTACAAATATTTTATTCCTGCCTGATTATCTTTCTCTTCCTCAGGGACTCCAATTACACATATGTTAGAAATTGTTTGATATTGTCCCATTGATCTTGGATGCTCTGGTTTTTTGTTCGTTTTCCTCTGTTTAAGTTTAGATCATTTTTATTGACCTGTTCTCAAGTTTATTATTATTTCCTCTGATAGATGTGTCCATTCTGCTAATAAGCTCATTGCAAGAATTCTTTGTCTCTGGTACTGTGATTTTCATTTCTAGCATTTCCATTGGGTCTTTTTTATAAAGTTTCCACCTCACCAATGAAATTCTGTAACTTTTGTGTATGTTTTTCCATTATATTTTTAAACATATTTAGTATAAGTACTCTCAAGTCTCTGTTGAATAATTCCAACATCTGAGCTACCTCTGAATCTGATTTTATTGACTATTTTTTCTTTTGGTAATGAGTCATTATTTTTCTTTTTTATGTGTCTTGTAATTTTTTAATTAATGCTGGAAATTGTCAGTAAAAGAATAGTAGAGATAGAAGAATCATATTTATTCCCAGAAAAGAACAATTCTCTTCCTTTACCAGGCAGTTAAAGTGATCAAGGTAGTGGATGGTTTTGGAAGGTCTGCACTTTGTTTTTGCTTTCATTACATTCATTGCACCATGATGCAGTCCTTTTAAATAGTTTATTATAATCCTTAAAAGTTTCACAGACCCTTCTGATGTTATTTTTTAAATCAACAGAAAATTAATAACAATATTTCCTGGTAGCCAATGTCCTTTACTTCACATTCACTCATTCAATAGACAAGACAGAATTGCAACAAAAATTAATCTGCTTGATTTGTGTTGTCTTCCATCCCTGCTCCGCTCATGTTCAATGGGAACTGCTAATGGGAAATGAATGGTCAGCAGGAAGGAGAGGAAAAGTTCTAATGTCCCAGGTGATGTGTCTCCTGAATAACTAAAGGTAGGGTAGTGTGGCTGGGGACATAAGACATGAACTAACACCTGAAAAAGAAACTAAACATTGGGTATTATGAAGCAGTATAGACATAAAATATTTGGGAATGAATTTCAATTAAAAAGCAGCATCTGAGCATCTGTGGGCCCATGTGGTGCCAGAAGCTGTGCAGCAGGTGCTGAGGGTATAGGAGTGGTCCCATGGCTGGGAGTGGCTGCAGAAGGCCCCAAAGAGGCCTGCGACTTTAGGCTCACCACTGCAGGACTGGAAGGGACTTTAAAGATTATCTAACACAAAGCTTTCCACACTTTGGTCATAATTGCCTACATAGATTTGTACAATTCCAAATTTGGGAGTCCCAAGTCTGGAGATCCTAATTCAGTAGGTCTGGTTGGGGCCCAGGTATCTATTTTTTTACAAGTGTCCCAGGTGATTTTGGAACACAGAACTACTGAACCAAGCTCCTCACATCACAAACAAGCCCAGAGAAAGGTTTGATCTGACTGTGGTCACACAGCTTGAGTGGTAGCAAAGCCAAAGCTCAAACGACATAATGAAAACAGCCACAGTCAACTGCTTTCTACATGCCAGACACTGCCTTACACACTTTGTGTTTGTTATCATGTTCAATCTTCATAATAACTGTAATTATCATAATCTCCATTTTAAAGAAGGAGAAAGCTCTTTGAGAGGTTACATTCTTGTGAAGGTAATGTAGCAAATAAGTGGCAGCACCCAGATTTGAACTCTGAAGCCCAGGCCTTTAACTATTACACACACAGACTCTCAGGTATTCACCCAACACTTGCACTAAACCTCAATTTGTGCCTCAGCTGAGAGACGAAGCAGGAGCATGGCTGCCAGCCTCTTAAGGAAGGGTCATAAAGGAAGGCAGTGTATCTCAGGGCGCATGTGACACTGGGGAGAGGGTGAATAGCTACTTCAGGATCTGCCAGATTCTAGGAGGGTCTTCTCCAATGAAGTCCTGTTGCCCACCAAGCAGCTTCCTTCTAGAAATGTAGGTTTTGATTGGGAATTTGGCACCAGCCTTGGGAGATTTAATGGGACATGAGTGGCATTGTATGCTCACCCAAAATTTCACGATTGCTTGCCCTCTGGGAGATGATTATTTTCTCTGCCTCTTCTCCCTGAGGAAGTACTTTGTCTGCCTTAGAAAAGAGTGTGAGTCAAAGGAACAGCTTTCACTGGCCGTCCTTTGTTCCCTCCTCACATACCCTCTCCCCCAAACACACAGGGACACAGTTCCCTCAAATACCATGTATGTGATGAATAGTTTAAAAGGAAATGTATTCCCACAGATTTTACAGAAAAGCACTTCTATTTCAATGCATGTCTAAGCCTGTCTGAGTAAACAGACAAATGAGAGTCAGATGCTTAGTAACTGATGCCTCTGCTCAGACCCCCCTCTGCATTGTGCAGAGAGAAAATTGTCCCACATTGGCTTGAGGGACAAGCTGGGTTTGATCCCTAGCACCACCATTTCCCTGATGTGTGACACTGGGTCCAGCCAGGCATGAGGGCAGGTGCCAACTCCTCCCAGCTCTAGGTCTTCATGGAATATCTGGGTAGCTGAAGTGAAGAGATTAGCCTGGGCTTGGCAGTTACTCAGTGATGGCAATGATCATCATCTTTTAAGGGTGCTCTTGGGCCATTGGTCTTGCATTCATTTACTCACCAGTCCTGTACCCTAAATCTTTCTCTGTCTCAAAGCATCTCATGAGCTTCCCCAAGGGGCCAATGAGCATCACTGGGATGGCTTGTGTCCCACCTGGGGGATATTTCTTATGGGACAGCTCCTTAGCAAGTGCAGCATGGCATATGAGAAAGGTAAAGGTGCTCATGGGCACACCTGCATTTTGCAGTTGAGAAAATTGAGGTTCAGAGAGGTTAGGGAATTTGTACAAGGGCTTGGCCAGTAAGTGGTGGTGCTGAGGTTTAGCCTCTTCCACTTTAAAAGCCCAAGTTCCTCTGTGCTGCATTAAAGGTTCAGTGGGTGGGGACGAGAGAGGGGAGAGAGATGGGCCTTCTAGGCTTGAGCAGGGCACTGACCTTCTGTAAGAGACTTCATAGGAGACCGCTAGCTCAGAGAGAGAGAGGAAAGTAGGTACAGGAAAAGTCAGGTAGTTTGGGTTCTAGCACTGGGCCTGTGGCATTCTAGCTGTGTGACCTTAGAGAAGTTTCTCAGCCTCTCTGAGCTCCAGTTTTCCTAACCATAAAGATGGACCTGTACACATGACATAGTGTGAATGAGCATTTGGCACATTGCAAAGCTCTCCATCCAAATGAGCCATTGTTCTCCTATTCTGATGCAGGAGAACATGGGCTGTTCCTCACCCTCTTGGGCACGCTGCACTCTAGTACTTATCAGGGTCTGGGAGACTTCTGGGGGTCCTGTTGCTGGCCTCATGTTTTGCTCTATTTCCTCAGGGTGGGAGAATGTCTACGGCTTTGACATGACTTGCATCCGGGATGTTGCCATGAAGGAGCCTCTGGTGGACATCGTGGACCCAAAGCAAGTGGTGACCAATGCCTGTTTAATAAAGGTCTGCAGACTCATCCTGCTTGGGCCTGGGCATGCTGGGAGCCCAGCTGTGCCACCCTGGGGAGCAAGGGACCTGGAGTAAGGTCATTGCCAGCTTCTGCACAGCCCCAGCCTGATGAGGCAGGGCTGCCTTGGCCAGAGCCTCTGCCATCACAAGATGACCAGTCAAAAAACTGCACAGGGAGTGACTGGACTCCATGGTGACACAGCTGAGGGGAGGGAGTCACATGCATCCCTTATTGATGTTGGGTGCTGGGATGGGGTGTGGGAGGGGGCAATAGAAGAAAGGACACCTTAGAGGCATGAGGGTCTGCTTAGATTTGGGGAAGCTACTCCATTTAGAGGTGTGTGGCCTTCTTATGAAAGAAATTGGATAGTACCATCTGCTATGTCATCCTCAGTACACTCCCACGTCCTAGCACACATGGTACCATCCTAGGTGTTCCAGGTTGCACATTCTCTAACATGTTGTCTTCCAAGGCTTTCTTCAGTGCAGATGCAGACCACCTGGTGAGCATCCTTATCATACCAGTGCCTAGTATGGTATGATACATTATTATTAAAAAGTCAAGCCAGCCAAACTTGACAGATTAAAACTCAAAGCTCCCCTTGACCTCCTTGCCCCCTTTCAAATGCATGTTTCTCCTAGAGGGAACTGCTATTCACAGGTTGGATTGAGCTTTCCAGTTCTTTTGCTAAGTTTTTGCATATAGATATGTGTGTGTGTGTGTGCATAATGTTGAATCATAGAAACTACTTATATGTGATTGTTTTTTAAAATCTAGAAAAACATTAATTTTTTGTGGTTCAAGATGATTTTTTAATTAAAAATCTGGATTCATTTATATAAATGTTCCTCAGTCCACCCAGCCCTCATCTTGCTAAAACACACTTGTCTGCTCTGGTCCTGTAGGTAGCACATCTTTTCTGGAAACGCTGGGGTGGAGCACTGGGGCATTTACGGAGGATGAGGGGGGACGGGCTGGGGGCCACTGGGGACTCGGGGACATTTCTGAAGGACTAATGAAAACTACTGACTTGCCCAATGAGAACTGGCCCATGTCTCCAGACGTGGTCTTCCTCAGAACCGCAGTACTGGGTTCATAGAGTCATTGAAGCATTTAGAAGGCAACTCCGAGAGCAAATGAATGAGATGTGCCTCACACAGTTCTCATCAGACACTGCCTTCCTCTCCTAGCATCCTATCTGAGAGATCTGGCTTCACATCTAAGCCTCAAAACTCTCCACTAACAGGGTTCTTACTACTTCATAACACATCCCATTCCAGGTCCAGGCAGAATTGATTGTGAGCACATGTGTCCTTTAATTTCTCCCCACCAGCCCCTCTGTTCCTAAAGCCTCTCCCTTTGGATGACCTATACAAGAACCAGGAAAGTTTTCCCTCAAACATCTCACCACAGCACAAAACATTTCTGTAAATATTATGGAACAGATAGAAATCAACTGTGCTACTACATTTGCCAAAATGACACATGGTGGTTCTGTTTGACCATTAGGCAGCTGTATGATAAAATTCCTTCAGTGCTCTTGGGCCCCAGGTGGTTTTCTGCCCCTGACCAGGTGTGACATTGTGCCTCTGTACACCTGCTAGTCACACCGTGAACTGGCCTGCTTCCACCTACCCAGGTCACACTGGGCTTCTTCCTCTGCCTCATCCCAGCCAGGAACCAGCAAGGGGCTTCCCCTTGGTAGCACCTGGAAATCAGCCCAGGAAATCAGCCAGGCTCATGAAGGGGCAGCAAAGAGGCTGGAGCTCTGGGCTGCAGTCCTGCTCCTCCCCCTCCCTGTACCTGCTCTTCCTCTGTCCTCAGAGAAGGCTGAGGACTGTCTGCGCTTGCTTCCTCCACCAGGAGTGTGCCCCTTTGTCAGCTCTCTCGCTAATATGCTAAGCAACATCTTGCCAAGACTATTGGGAAAACACTTGCCCTTCTTCACACACTTAATTGCTATTTTCATGTTATTAACATTGCAGAGTGAAACACTCTGTTATAATTAAGACTCTGTTTTGACCACACTTCTGCTCCGAGACACCCATTTGTAATATTATTTAGTGGTGGGGATAGCAGTGACCAGGGGCTCTTCTGAAGTGACCTCAGAAGTGACCAGGGAATCTTCTGAGTCATTGATGCCTGTGGAGCCCTCCACTTGATGGGGGTCACCTGAGGCCAAGTCACAGGCTCTCTGAGGAGTCACAGAGATGCTATTGCTGCTGTGAAAAGAAAGAAACCTTCCAGCAAAGGGGTCTGGGTTCTGGACAGGCAGGATAACTGGGTATGACTCTATAGCCTTGGATCTGACAGGAGTGTGGAGCTGAGCCCAGAGGGGGTCTGTGTCTCAAAAGCCCAGCCACAGCTAATCCTGCCCTCAGAGACCACCCCGCCCCCACTCCAACAGACCCACTGCCCCCAGGGTTACCATTTGAATGTGTAGCTCCATTACTTCTTTCTAGAAAGCTTTCGTTCCTTCATCGGCCCCCATTAAGGTGCAAATATTGGCAGGACCTAGTGAACACTGTCAGCTAACACAGTTGACAGCTGACATTTGGTTGATGGATGGCTGATAGCAAGACCCTATAGAGATAGAATTCCTGCTAGTTGGGTAGTGTGTAGCAGGTGCTGTGTCACACATTAAGGGTGCACAGACTGATAAGGTGCACCCTCTGCCCCTACAGAGTTCCAGTGCAATGGCAGAGGCAAAGGGAAGATGGTGAGGCTGCTGAGATGAGCCAGAAGTAGGGTAGAAAGACCAGTCTGGGCTGCTGCCAGAGGGGACCAAGGGAGAGAATACCATGGCCCTTGGAAAGAGCCTGAAGCCTGGCTAGCTGGCTCTGACTATGAAGGAGGTGAAAAAGTCAGTGAGTGTAGACACTGTGAGCTAGTGGACCATGCTGATGCCGTTAATAAAAATACAGTCGGCCACAGCTTGCTCTAGGGGCTGTTGATCTGGAGGGAACCTCTGGACATGTGCCTGGGAGAGATAACATCCTGAAGGCTGACAAGCACCCAACCTATTCTGTGGGTGGAAGTTACAGAGATTGTTGTGAGTTCTCATTCATTATATAGAGGGACCTACCAATTGGAGGTGCCAGGAAGTGGAATCAGCTGCCTGGTAGGTAGTGAATGCATTAGCCCGAAGGTGTTCAAGCAAGCACCAGACAGCCACTAACTGAATGCTACTGGGGGGGGCTCTTGCCTTGGATACAGGGGACTGGCTTTCTAGTTCTGCACTTCTGACCCAGGGCTACCATTCCTTTAGTTCTTGTTTCCCAACGCTAACCTCCTGGAGAGATTCCCACATTCCCCTAAACTTTTAGTTCCACCTTGTCCCAATTAACAAGTGGAGCTTCAACTCCCCGAACATGTCAAGGCTGCTCACCTGAAACCACCACAGGGCTCTGATCTGCTGGCTCCCTTTGCCACACCTCCTCTTCCTCTGTCCTATGAATGCAGAGATTCTCCTTGAAGGCCCCCCGGATGCTTCACATCTGCTTTTCGATTTTTTTATCGTAGAAATACATAGATATAAGGACCATTTCTGTTATGTCACTTTGTCTCTTCCCTGCTCTTGTTTTCCACCCTCAGAACTCTCCTAATTATTCCCAATATGTCCCATCACCTAGGTTTCAGGGGAGCCCCTGGGGAACATTCCAGACACACAAATGTCTGGCTCTTGCAGTCTTAGGGATAGAGATACTTGCTACACACCCCCAACAGTGGGAAGTCCTTCCTTAGACCTCACTAGAAGCTACCTGGATGCCTCCTGGGTTCTTGGAAGGTTTGACTGTTTCACTGGAGCCAGCAAACAGCAGTTCAGCACTCTTCACATATAAAAGAACAGCACGTTGCAAACTGTCTTTTATTACACTTGTTCTCCACACAAGATTGATTTTCAGCCACTTCCCAACTAAAATTATTACAATTATTAGTTCTTCATTCTCCAGATAGAACTGAAAAATTTTGACCTCTTACTGCTTCCTTTCCTTCCCTCTCTTCTTCATTCTCTTCTTTCCTCGCTCTTCCTCCTCCCTCCCTCCCCCTCCCTCCATCCCTCCCCCCCCTCTCTCCCCACCCCCATCCAGGCATATTATAAATGGCCAGCAGAACTTCCTTCAGTTCAGTCTGTTACTGTGGGTGGAATCAGATCCTCACTCCTGTGACAATATTTGATGCCTCTTATTGCTGGGCACTTAAGTATCCAAAAATAGAAAAATGAGAACGAGTAGCCTCGTTCATTGGCATCACAGGAAGGACTTGATAAAGCACTGATATCTGTTTTGATTCAGTAGGGCTGGCATGCCCTCCCCTCCCCTCCTCAACCATCCCCACTCCACTTCGCCCCACCCACCCCTCTCAGAATCTGCTCCCAGGTGATGCCGATGCGTGTCATCCCAGCACCACACTGTGAGAACCACTAGATGAACACAGCGGTGCTGAGGCATTCCACTCTGAGGACATTTTTGTTGGATTTAGAGATGCTCTGTCTAATCAATGCTTCTTTTCTCTACCTTCCCCTCCTCCATCAGCCCCCACCCCCAGCAGATTTATCCTTTTAATGTCCCCCCTGGGTTCTGATTCATATCTGTTCACATCATTGCTGCACCATAGAAAGGATTAAGGGAACATCGGAGGGTGGTGGGTGGGTCTGGGAAGTCACCCTTAGAGTAATGACACCCTGGAGAGTTGGTGGTCAGTAGTGCCCCTCAGAGATGCAGACCTGGTGGAAGTGCCTAAGTGTGTGGCCTTCTCTCCTCTCTGGGCAGGAGGTGGATATTTACACAGTCAAGACGGAAGAGCTGTCGTTCACATCTGCCTTCTGCCTGCAAATCCAGCGCAATGACTACATCCACGCCCTGGTCACCTATTTTAATATTGAATTTACCAAGTGCCACAAGAAAATGGGTTTTTCCACAGGTGAGCCTTTTGGTATCATTCCAGATACACCCTTCCCCCATGCTGAGGCTTTGTGGAAAGTGACCCCGGGCTGGCCCCAACTTCTGGGAAGGACCTGGGCATTAGCCAGGGACCCTTACTTGGTATCTCTTAAGCCCTCTGCAGCTGTGAAGTAAGCAGAGTAGCTGCCTAAGGAGAAGGTAATAAAATTGTGGCTGGCATGGCTAGAGTTGAGAGTGTGTGTGAAGTGGGGAGTGGTGAGTGTTTGGACCCCTTAGCAAACGCACATTTGTTCATTTAGCATTTCTAGAGCATGTATTGTGTGAGGGGATAAGGAAACAAAGTGGAATTAAATTTCTCTCTCTCCACTGTCATGCCTTACTACAGATTCAGTGGACTGCAAATGGTGTCTCTATGTTCCTGCTTATTTACTACTTCCAACACAATCCATCCTCATTAAGTCCCTGACAGTGTTCCCCAAGGACTACCCATGTCTCCCTCCCAAAGCTTATTCAGAGGTGACTTGCTGCCTGTAGCAGATAAGCCCAAATGTCTTAGCTGGATAAGTGGGGGTCCTGCAACCTAGCCCTGGCCTTACCCCACTCCTCCAACCTCATTTCTTACTGCTCCTTTGCTTTGCCTTCCACCCCCATGCTGTTGCTGCCACTGCAAGCGCAGCACCTAGCAGTTTCCTGAACTCAGTGTGGCTTAAGTCTCTGGGAATCACCTCTGCACATGCCAACCCCTTGTCCATCCCAGTGTGTCTTGGGAGCAAGAGGGTCTCTTTGTCAGAAGCTTTCATCATCTCCTGCCATTACAGTACTGCAGACTGCATGGCTTAAAAAACAGAAATGTATTTCTCATAATTCTGGAGGCTGGAAGTCCAAGATCAAGCTGTCAGCAGGGTTGGTTTCTTCTAAGGCCTCTCTACCTAGCTTGCAGATGGCCGCCTTCTCCCTGTGTCCTCACATGGCCTTTCCTCTGTGTGCACACACCCTTGGTGTCTCTATGTGAGTCCTAATCTCTTCCTGAAAGGACACTAGCCAGATTTAATGAGGGCCCTCCCTAACGGCCTCATTTTAACTTAATCGCCTCTTTAAAGGCCCAGCTCCATGTAGAATCATATTATGAGGTACTGGGAGTTAGGGCTTTGGCACCAACTTTGGAAGGGACACAGTTTAGCTCATACCATCTCCCCATCCCCACCTCCTCACCGGGCCAATCCCAGCACAGGCCTCATGTCTCATGCTGGTATTACTCGATCCCCTCCTTCTCTCTTGGGTCAAGTTTAGGTGTCCTCCAGGTCCCCAAACACCCTGTGCTTAGGTCTATCATGCTGATGTTCAAATTGATGCATATACACAACAGCAGAAAGGAAACAAAGGAAAAAGTTCTCTCCCCATTCATCCCAGTTTCATACCTCAGAGACATATATTGGTAAGGATTTCTTTTGTATCCTTCCCAAAAAGTTCAATGGTGCACAGGCATGTACAAATCTATATACACCTTTTTAAAATTATTTTCATTTGAAGTAATTATAAACTTCCAAGAATTTGCAAACATAGTACATGCAGTTCTGTGACTCCTGTGCTCAGCTCTCCCCATTGGTGGCATCTTACATAACTAGAGTACAATATCAAAACTACAGCATTTTTTAAAAAAGCATAGGTTGGCTCATACCATACATACTACCTTCTGCTACCTTTTCTTTATTTTACAATATGTCTTGAAGGTATTTCCATAGCCTCACAGAGATACCTACTTTATTTTTTGAAGAACTATACCAGAATTCAATGTAGGATATGCCATCATTTATTCAACACTTCCACTCATTTTGCATCCCTTGGTTTCCTCATGAGTCAGGATCACATCTCTAGTGTTTGGCTTCTCTATTAAATATGTGTGTGAAGACATGCCTTCTGCCGTTTGGGTATATTCAGATTAATCATTCATGTGGAGTCTCCCTGGGAACTGGGAGCATGAAGTCGGGGGTGAGTGTGTGTGTGTGGCAGAAATAAATAGGTTCTACCAGAATTCAGGAATGTGATTATTGACTTCCAGAAGACATGGTGACAATGATCCTCTCTTACCTGTTGACAGAGGGGGCAAGGGACTTATTTAATCCCTCACAGAGGTTTTTTTTCCAGAACCTGTGTCTCCCAACCACCAATACTGGGGTTTTCTTATCTCCATCAGCCAGGCCAGTGCTTGTGCTCCCTGCCCTGGGGGGAACCAGAGAAGCCTAATCTGAATCATTACAGCTGTTACCCTTCTTAGAGGGGTAGCCTGCAAGCTCATCTTGGTGGGCAGGAACAGCCAGGAGGGGCATGGAGACTTTACCTGGGCCCTGAAGGATAGGGAAAACTCAGCCTCACAATGATGAAGGGGTGGGTAGTGAGAGGGCCAAGGAGTCTGCTTTGACACCAGGGCTGTGACTGGAGGCCAGGGGTGGTCACAGTGGCTGCTTCTGCCTCTACGACATCTGGGATGATGCCTTCCACAAGGCCTGCCCTGCTACAGGTGATGAGAAAGTCAGTGGGCAGGGGTACTCTGGAAAAAGTTCTGGCTTTTGAAAGCCTGAGTTCCAGCCCTGTAACTCTCTCTCAGCTGGGGTCCATGAGGCTAATCAGACAGCTCGGTAAGCCCTGTTTAGAGATGGCTCTCTGGCTCTGTGGTATCAAGGACAACATTCTGGACACTCCCCCTCCCCACTGTGGAGGAGTCTTTGTTAAATTCAAGTTCAGAACCAAAGACATTAGCCCTGGGATGCCTGGGAGATGGTGAGAATTTGAAGAGTTAAGTCTCCAACTGCTGATTCCCTTTCTTCCTGGTCACTCCCCATCATAGTCCCACACAAGCCCCTAGGAGAAAAATGATGATGAGTATGTTTCATAAGCTCAAAGACCTTGGGCAGATTGAGGTCTGAGGCTGATCGTCTGTCTTTTTTTGCAGTTTTGGCATTATGCCCCCTCCCCTGTGCACAGAATCCCAGGAGCTTAGGTTCTGAAAGGACATTCAGAGTTCCTGTAGTCCTCTCTTTCCTGTGCCATGGTGCAGAAGCACTCAAAGCGTGGTCCATGGACCAGCAGCATCACCATCACCTGGGAACTTGTTAAAAGTGCGAATTCTCCGGCCCTACCCCAGACCTGCCTACAGAGTCAGGAATCCTGGGGTGGGACCCAGAAATCTGTGTCTTAGCAAGTCCTGCAGGTGATTATGATGCACAGTCAAGGTTGAGAACCACTGCTCCTGTGCAAGCCTGCCTCGGCAAGATGGCTGAAAATTTGACCAGCGTTGACATCCTCTGGAAAGGCAATTCCGCTTTCTGACTATGGTATGCCTCCTGGCCTCCCCAAGACAGTGGGCCTGCTGGCTGACATGAATCCCTCCTGCTGCAGCATTTCCACATACAGAGAGATCAGGGGAAATGACATTATTTAGCTGCCGTCTCAGCCACCTGAGATGTCAGCATGGGGGTTTGCTTTCAGTACATAGCAGATGTCCTTGGCAATCAGCATAGGTTTGACACTGGGCTTTATGCAGACCCTCTGCATTCTGAGCACCAAGGAAAGAGGATTTCCTTTTTTGTTTTGAAGGAGCCCAGATGCACAGAATTAGGTTAATTTTAATTCTTGGTTCTTGACCTACTATCATCATTGGGTCCTACACGGTTCACTTTTTGCTTGTTTATGTACCTATATAATGAATACCTGTGAACTTACCACCTAACCCAATAACCAGAATAAAGTATTGTTAAAGTAAATAAAGTATTATTAAGTAGCATATAAACAGTAACTAGAAATAAGACTATTTATTATTGGAATGTAAATATATTCATTAAGAAATAAATTATTAGAATATAAATATTAACCAGAAGATATTATCAATAAATAAGATTATAATTAAAAATGTAAGTAAATTAATTCATAATCACATAATAAGTCCCTGTGAGTTCACCACCTAACTCAATGACTTAAATGCTATCATACCTTTCAATCCACCTGGATGCTCTGCTCCTACCCCTGCCCTCCCCCCATATCACCTCTAGACAAACACTATCCTGCATTTTGTGTTCCTTATCCCTTTACTATCTTAGAAAAGTTTTATCACATGATTAGGTAGGCCTAAACAACGTTGTATTGTTTGGCCTTAGCTATTTTTGAACTTCTTGCAAATTGTATTTTGCTTACATGGACCTTATTCATCAACCCCCAACTGTGTTTCCATCTCCACCAGCAGTATCTGGCTCTGGGGGACCCACAAGTCAAGTGCTGTGCAGCTTGAAAATGATCCCTGTTAATGGCCTGATGTCTCCTCTTTGCAACTCCAGGAAGGTGCCCAGGGTTCCAGGCTATGCCAGCCAGCAGGCCCAGCTGTCCCAGCCACCACTCTGGTGGCACATCCTAGACATGTAGGGGGAGGAAATTGGAACTGGATCCCTAGGGCTGCTGTATGGTAGGTAGAAGGGCAGTAGGCTGAGTAGAAGCAGGCCTGGATTTGAGTCCCGGTTTTTCCAGGATCAGCAAGGTAGGGTGATTGGGTTCTGCAGGTGGCCTTGAACAAGTTACTTTCTGGACCTTGGGCTTGTGATGTGTGAAATGACACCATTGGACCTAGATGGCTGGCAGCCCTTTCTAGCTTTGCCATCCTATGACACTGAGTCATTTTCTCAGGTGAAAGAAGCTTCTTGTTGTATAGTCTTTAATTCTTCAAACAGCTTGTGAACCTTCTAAGGAATATAATTACAAATTTACAGCTCAAAAGAGTATTATATTTCATTTAGCCATTGGGAAGTAAAACAGGAAGCAGGATTCCACTTCCACTTCAAAAGCACCAGGAAAATTCTGTGAGAAGCCGCTGCTGTTGGTTTCCATGGCCCACTGGGGTCACATCTCATAGGGGGCCTCACTCAGGTAGTAGGATCTGAGGTGGGTAAGGCTGTTTTGGTTGCTGTTCCCTAAATTTAGTACCATATCTGGCTCATGATAGGCATCTTCAATAGATGACTGTTCAATGAATGAATGAATGCCTATGCACTGGAAATGCTACAGGCAGTACTGGCCACACTCCCTTCGAAATACAAAACACAAGCTGTCCATATTCCAGAACTCAGAGAGACTGAGGGGAGGGGCTTCACGGAGGGAGAAAAGGGGTCCAGATATTGAGAGTATGAAGGTATCTTCATAATAGGGAAAGCTGAGGGCAGAAGAGAAGAAAATACCTGTTTACTGAGAATTCTAGATGCCTCCACAGCCCTGTGGTGAGCGCTAACCCTTGTGCACAGCAACTTTCTGGATGCTTCCCCAGGACATTCTAGACCACTAGAGTCCAGCAGCACATCCTTGCAGACCAGAGCCTGGATAAGTAAAATGATATATCATTCTCCATAGTGATGAAATAACCCCTAATACTTAGTAATACCCTAACATAGGCCTAATATGTTGTAGGTAGGGTGACCATAGAATTAAGAACACCTCTCAGAGTGAAAGGGAGTGCTATTAATAATTATGCCAGGAAAACAGAAGTGAACTGGACCTATCCTTGGTATAATGGAAGGTTTGTCACCTTGGTATACAGGGTTCATCAGAAGTAATGCCTGCTTGAGTGTGGTTGGTAGGGTAATAATATGAGTGTAATAATTTATAGTTTTAATTTGAACATTTCACCTAAAATGTCATATGGTATGCTTGAGTGTGATATTGTTATGTTACAAAATTACATGCTTGTGATTTTGTAATAAAAGGGGGGGTTTTATTTATGCCGGACCCTATATCTTTCCTCCATTCTCAGCCCATTTGAGCTTCACAGTGCCCCATGATCTGCAGGTGTAGAAGACCAGCCCCAGGGTCATGGTGCAAACATGCATCAAGATGGGAAGTGAAAACTAGTCCTGTTGTTGCCTAATTGTGTCCTTTCCACTGACACTCGCCCAAGAGGTGTTATCAGATAGAAATGATTAGGTTTGCCCGGTGATTTCAGTCATAAGCTATTCGTCTGCTTCACCTAGAGGAGATTTTTAAGTCCTGGAAAACCTACTCCCTCCCAACTCCCCAGAAACACTGAATTTAAATCCCTAGTAGACTGAAAACATCTGAATTGCAATAAGTTTCTTCTGAACATCTTGCTGGAGGATTTAGGACTAAGACTGACTTAGATAATTATTCTGTAGCTAATGGACCCATCATGGAAATGAGATATCTGGGGATGTTCTTAACCTTTTGATGGTGATGTTGGGGGAAGAGATGACTTTATTCCAACCCAAGGCTGGCATTTTTTTTTTCTTTGCTACCATCAGAGGCAGATTCCTAGGCTTGGCAAATCTGAGCCAGTGGAGTCTCTGGGATTCTCATAAGGCCTCCGATTAGGTGCCAGAAGGAAGATGCTTGAATCCCCTTGCCTGGGGGTATTTAAGAACAGGAGAGAAGCCCTGGCTGGTGTGGCTCAATGGACTGAGTGCTGGCCTGCTAACCCAAAGAACAGGAGAGACACTTGTCTGAGCTGCTGTAGGTGGAAGTGGGGTGAGAGTTCCATCAGTCATATTGTATACTGCTCTTTTCCACACTAAGACTGTCCTTTGATAATTTATTTAGAGGTAGTGGACAGGGAAGGTGCTGAGAGCAAGTAGACTTTGTTCATAGACCACAGTATGCCTTAGTGTCCAGGGCAGCTAGATATGCTTGGGGGTCCAGGCTCTGAGATGTACAGATGGCATGTTTGTGATCTTCCTTTGAGCCCTTCCAAGTGTTTAGTCTGCTCTTCCCTCTCCATGACCTTGAGTTTGCATTGATTTCCCACAGGCACATATTGAAGGCTACTCAAAGCTATTATCCAGACCACTGACATTTGATCAAGCCAGTTAATCGCAAAGGGCAAAGAAAGACAAACTCTTCACCACCATTAAAATAGGGCTTGAAAGATTTTAGTTGTCACCTGGGCTGACTTGATGCATGATAAGTCCCAGGTCTGTGGCCCTCAGAGAGCTCATAAGACTGTGATACAGCTCTAATTCTTTCTGGTGAATTAAACATCTGCCTTCTGCTCCAGCTGGAGTGCACTGGATTGAGTGCCAGCCTGCTAACCAAAGGGTCACTGGTTTGATTCCCAGTCAGGGTACATGCCTGGGTTTCGGGCCAGGTTTCCAGTGGGGGGCATGAGAGAGGCTACCACAAATTGATGTTTCTCTCCCTCTCTTTCTCCCTCCTTCCCTTCCCCTCTCTCTAAAAATAAATCCAAAGAAAAATCTACCTTCTAGTAATTCCCACCAACTAGCCTTTGTTCTGCCTCCAAAGCCAATAAGGCTACATATAAGTCTTTCCATGTAACAGTTTTCTGTAGTATTTGAAAGGCAAAAATTATGTTCTCCCCACATCTTCTCACCTTTATCTCTGGTCCTAAGCAAAGAGGAAATCAGTATTAATGAGTCCTGTATCCTGGTGGAGGAAGGTAAGAGCCTGAATGGTCAAGAGGAACTTACTATAAGATGGGTTCTTCTATAGTCCATAGGTTCTAAAGCCCCCATTGTAACTGAACTGGGTGCCTTGAAGCATCATGAAAAGTCTATCTACTCTGGTTTTATACCAAATAAACCATTCATTTTTTCAGGACTTAAAGATCTACTAAGTGTGGTGGTAAGCACTGAGGATTTCACAATGAAGGGGCCTGGCATTGCCCCTGCCCTCACAGAGATCACAGTCTTGTGGAGGACACAAACTAATGGGGAGGGAAAGGCATTTATGCTGCATCATGACAGTCACCCTGGTAACACAAGCTCAGGGTGCCCTTAATCCAGGTGAGTGGTCAGGCAAGTCTTCACAGAGGAAGTGACCTTGAAGGATGACGAAGAGAGCCTGATGAGTAGTGAGTAGGGAGGGAAGAGTGTTCCGAAGACAGCGGCTGCTGAAGAAGATGGCCGCTTAGTCAGATCTCTCATTTAGCTATAGAATTTGTAGTGTGCTGAGAGGGGCCTGGTGGGATTTAATGGCAAATACACTGGGAGTGCAAGCATCAGCGTGGCTTTTGGTCATGCAGGAGGTGTGAGCTGTGGACCAGCATTGGGGCTGTGGAATAAGAATCATCCCTCATTTCGATCTGATCTAGTTAGGAAGGCACAGCTGAAACCCCTGGCAGGCCTGGGCCAAGGCTACTAATTTTGGTTCTAGGGCAGAGAAGCAGGCAGGGAAAGCTATTTGTAGGACTGGGCTGTCAATAGAACTGGGGAAACTGGGTTAGCTGTGGAGTTTGCATAAATGATGCCATTTAAGGGGAGACAGGATGGCCTTCTCTACAAATCTCTTGCCCACACTGTCTGAAAGTCTTCACTCTGTTGAACTAATAGGGGTAAAAACAGTAACATTCTGAGATTCATTTGCATTACAAAGTTTAGCTGGTGAGCTGGTATTTATGTTCCATCCCTTGGCATGAGTTTGTAATATCATCTTGTTCTCTTCTGCTCCACAGTTAAGACCTGCAGCCCTGAGGGACAGTGATTCGATGGAAGGAGGGGTCACTGAGGCTCAGGGGGAGTTCTGGTGGGAGCTTGGAGTCTAGTTACAGGGGCTGGGCACCTAACAAGAGTGTTGTGTAGCCATCAGAATTCCAGAGGAAACCCAGCAACTTGTAGGCAGGGTCCCAGCCTTAGCCCTTCTGGACAAGTCTTCTCTGACACTTCCATCGTACCTCCCTGTCCTTCATTCCTCAGCCCCTGATGCCCCCTACACCCACTGGAAGCAGACTGTTTTCTACTTGGAAGATTACCTCACTGTCCGGAGGGGGGAAGAGCTCTATGGGACCATCTCCATGAAGCCAAATGCAAAAAATGTGGTGAGTGCTAAGGCAGCCTCTGTGTGGGCAGCAGTCAGAGAGGGGAAGGGACCGCAGTGCCAGTCCCAGGAGCCACTCACCCAGGTGCCTATGTGCCTTGTGTGCCATCAGGAAAGTTGCCGAAGGAGGCAGTCAGACTCTGGGCTTGGTCGTAGCTGGGCATTACTGAAGGGCTCCAGTGTTGGCTCCTTAAAGCTCAGGAATTAGAGACTTTTTAGCTTCTACTTCTCTCCCTACCCCAACTCTCTCAGGCTTGAGCACAGCTTCTGGCTCTTCATAGAGGTTGAGAACAAAGGCTATTGCCATAGGTTTCACCTCATTAATGATAAGTTGAGCCAGGAAATAGGAGTTTCTGGTGGCCCAGGAGAAGTCTGGTTTGCATGTATTCAGCTGGCCTAGTGGGTTGCAGATGGTGACATTCTTTCTGAGCTACTCTTGGTGCAGGCAAGTGAACTATGAGTCTACAGAATTGCCTCGAGAGGTATGTCACAGAAGATTCACCCATCCTACTCAGTATTCTACCAGGAAGAAATCAGAGGGAACAGTTTACTTTATGACAGGAAGGATTTAGGTTAGGAATCAAAGAACTTTCTGTGAAGATAATGAGGCACCAGAATAGATTCCTGAGGGCTGACTGTGGGAACTCCTCAGGTAGCAAACCTGAGGAGCACAGTAGGTGCCCACCCATCCACCTGCAGGGAGGGGAGCAGTATTGTCACTTCTGATCACACTAATATTGTGACTCTTGGCTCCTACTTTGCAGCGAGATCTCGACTTCACAGTAGACTTGGACTTCAAGGGACAGCTGTGTGAAACATCTGTATCTAATGACTACAAAATGCGTTAGCACACATGGGAAGCTGCAGAGAGTGAGTGAGAAAACATTCCCACCTCGATCTGCGGCACTGTGACAAGGAGTACTGTTTGCAGGACTTCACACTTGACTATCAGAGGTTTAAACTCTGCCTTGAAGATTGGGGAACTCGCCAGGGCTCCCATGGGCGCTGACACTGGACAGATGGCCTCTGGCTCCTCAGCTCTGCTCTGTGAGCCCTACACTAAGGCTTTGCTGTTGCTGACCAAGAGCGACCTCATGGCTGGGCCTGGGGACAGAACATACCCATGTATCCCATTGTCCTCCTGTACTGTGAATCTCTGGATTTTCCAAGTTTTGCATGCTGCAGGCATCTAGGGCAGATCGCTTCACTAGAAACTGGAGGCTAGTATCTTTGATAGCATAAGCCAGATTCTGTCTGTGTGGTGGTGTATGCGTGCGTGTGTGCATACTGCATATACAGTCGTTTACTTACCCATAACACTGTATATGCACGCACTTACAACCACTGGGTTCACCCATGTGTTCATTCAGGGCGTGTGCGCGCACATGTGAGTAGAATATATATTACTTTCAGAGGAGATCTTGTGGCTTTTGAATAGGACTTTGTTTTGTGATTAGCTCTCCCCTTCCCCATCCCTTACCAGATGTAAGCAGCTATGAAATGTTCTCTGTACTAGCTCTGGTCTCCTTTTGACTAGACCATGGCTCCGAACCTGAGCATAGTACCACATACTCTGTGGGCACTCAATAAATGCACATGACAGTGAAGCAATGAGATGGCTGTGTTCTTGGTGCCCTGGAATGGGAGGGCTTGGTGAGGAATTCAAAGGCCATAAGGAACAGAAGTCAAAGGAGCAGCACCTTGGTTGCTCCCTGCTCCAGAAAGGTAAGGTCCTCGGTAGGAGTAGCTGTGAAGTTGGGACTGGCTGAAAGGCACCTCCCTGTAGACTCTCAGAAGATAGGAAGAGTGTCCTGGAGCTGGGGTAGGAAGATGAGCTAACCAAGAGTGCTCTAGAAGGGGAAGCCGCATGTAGCCTAAAAGGAAGCCAAGGTCAGGAGTAATCCAGGCTGTGCATGCTGCTGGGAGGGCTGGGAGAAAGCAGGAGATGGTGGCTGAGCTTGTGATCTCGAGTCCCTGGGCAGAGACTGGCTCAGGGACTGAGGGAGAGGCTAGTAGGCCAGGAAAGGGACATTTCTTGTTTAAGATGCTAGGAGTTTGCAGCACCACACCATCATTCACACCATCAGGGTGTGAATGATTTCATCGCTGCCCCTCACCCCTGGGCCAAGGTCTGGCCTGGCCTGTCATCTTGCTAATCAGCAGGAGCCCACCCATCTTGAACAGAGACTTTCCAGTAAGCTCAGGCAAAAGCCATTTGGTCCTTGAGGTGACACCCAGTTTCCCACTGCAGCTCCCTTCTTCAGTGTCATTGGTAAATCTCCAGTCCTCACAAGTTCTTCATCCCTGCCACCTCTAAGATTTTAGACTCCATTCCTATCATGGAGAGGGCAGAACCAGATGAGAGACTTCTGTGATTGGGATTGGCTACAGAGGGAAAGGATGGGATCCTTACCTGTGGACAGGGACCCAGGCCTAGCTGCCTTGAATATTCAGTTGCCAGGTAGCATGCTGGCCTGCATCTCTGGAATGGGGGAGGAAGGAGCCAGACAACTGGGACATGGGGGTGTAGTCCGGTGGTGCCTTCAACACAGTGTGGACCTTGAGCAAGTCATGCCACATTTTTGGTGTCAGCCTTATCACCACAGCAACAAGGGAGCTGGACCAAGTGAGTATTTTCCACACTGGGTCTTGGGAGGCCCCTCGCACTTGTGGGAGATGCCAGGGACAGGGTGGGCAGAGCTCTGGGTCTCCCCTCCCCAGATTAAAAAAAAACAATTTTTATTTCTGTTTTTATTTTCTTTGGAAAAAGAATTGTACCATGGAAAATAAAAATAAAGAAATGAAAAGGAACCAAGACCAAAATCAAACACCTTCGAAAATGACTTATGTAGGTGACTTGAAACTCTGCCCAGCCCTAATACTCTGAGGCCAGTCCTATCTTTGACCTTCTCTCTTCCCTTCCCACCAAAAGGCCTGTGCAGTTTCACCTAATGCCTTTTCTGCAGCCCAAAAGGGTGTTGGGTCTTAGCTAGGCACCCATCCCATGGCCAAGAACCACATTTTCACTTGCCTATACCTTTATTCCTGCCCCTACTGGCTCTAAAATATTATCTCAGGAACCATTATCACTCAGAAAGGGAGTAAATTTGAACAGGCATGAATTTGAAAAGGGGCCTGCCTCTCCAGGAGCACATAGCTCTGTGGATGCTGTGCTTGGCAGGCGAGTGGATTTCACTTGCCCTTGAGCCTAGTCCTTTTGTGTAGTGTACACACTGCACAGTGGTACTCAGAGGCCCTGAGAGAAGCAGGCTGGACCTCTTGCAGCCCTTATTTCCATTAGAGACCTCTCTGGGAAATTTCTAGCCGTAGTCCAAGTGCAGTTACAGAATCTCCCTAGCTAGAAATACAATGTCCTTTGCCAGAACTGGTGAGGTGTTTTGATTTGTTGGATTTGGTTATTCTTTAGCTTTGGAGATAGGCAGTCTCACCTGTATCATCCTCTCCCCTGGAAGAGACAGTCCAAGGTCTGGGGAAGGAACAGGGCCATTTAGAGGAAGTGGTCCAGCTGACAGAGCCCAGGATGGAAGGATATAGAGGAGGACTTGGCTTGATGGGGTGCATCTCTTGGGGATGATAGTGACCTTAAAAATGATAACTGACTTCAGTAGCAGTGGCCCTTCCCTTTCATAACTCTCTGGCATCTACATACTTGTTGGCTTCCCCAAAGCCCTGGGCATTAGGCATGAGGTACTCCCCACCCACACTGTAGCTGAGGAGCTAAGGCACTGAGCCCCAGGAGGAGGAGGGGAGCTGAGGCAGAGCTGGGCGGTGGTGAGCCCAAGTCCAGCTCAGCATGCCGTCTGCTGACCATGCTTCTTCCTCTGAACTTCTGGCCACGAGGCTTCTCTTTGGACCTAGAGGAAAATAAAGGGAAAATTGTGTAGTGCTTTTTGTTCACATGTGTTAAACAAGAAAAACCAAGAAGCTTTGGAGAGGACAACAGTGACTGTGCTAGAAGAGGGAAGCGGTTGCGGGAAGACCTGGGGTGGGGTCCCCAGCGGGCATTTCAGGGAGACCCGTTGGTGGGTTTTCACTGTGCTGGGAGTCAGGGAGCCCTGGATTCTGCCAAATGTTGAACAGCAAGGCACTCCAGCTTCGTGGAGAATTCCATCCATGGTCAGAGAGGCAAACTCCTACAGTGTCAAGAGCCAGCTTGGATGACCTCTCAGGGCTCAGGTGTGTGGGACCTGCAAGCATCCCTGACACTCCTGATGGCTAAGAAAATGCCCAGCAGTCCTTAGGGCCTCTCTAGTCTTCAGAGGAGAAGAGGGTCATCTCACAGCCTGCCCTTGCCTTGGGTCTTCAGCCCCTGCCACCCTATCCCCCCTCTCCACTCTTGGCCTAGGAGGCTTGAAGGAGCAATTGCAGCAGCCCCTTCCTCCTGCCCCTGGGAACACTCCAGTGGGGATTGTAATTTCTCTCTGATTCAGTGGGAAATAAGCAATATCTACTTTGAGCATGGTACGAATAGAAGTTAGTGTGTAAGATGAGATTTTGGCATGGCAATAGAGATGCTATAAAATGACTTTACTTACAAAACCTTTTTGTTCCCCAAATCTGACTTCCTCGTATTTTTTTCATTACCATTTAGTCCCCTTATATCTCCCTCCCCCCACTGCAATCACCACACTGTTATCCATGCCCATGAGTCCTTTTCCTTTTTGCTGAATTTCTCCTCCCCTAACCTCCCCCCACTTAGCTGTCCCCTTGCTCTCCATCTATGAGTTTATCTCTTTTGCTTCTAAGTTCAGTTTATTTATTAGTTTCCACATATGAGTGAAATCATATGGTATTTGTCTTTCTCTGACTGGCTTATATCGCTTAGCATAATATTCTCCAGATCCATCTATACTGTCCAAAGGGTAAAATTATCTTCTTTATTACAGCTGAGCAGTATTCCATTGTGTAAGTGTCCCATAGTTGTTTTATCCACTCCTCTACTGAGGGACACTCAGGCTGCTTCCATATCTTGGCTATTGTAAATAATGCTGCAATGAACATAGGGGTGCTTATGTTCTATCAAATTAGTATTTTGGGTTCCTTCAGATATATTCCCAGAAGTGGGATCACTGAGTCAAACGGCAGATCCATTTCTAAGTTTTTGAGGCAATATTTTATCAGAAATATCTCTCCAGGCAAGGGAAACAAAAGAAAAATTTTAAAAATGGGAGTACATCAAACTAAGAAGTTTGTTCCCAGCAAAGAAAACCATCAACAAAATAAAAAGACAATCCACAGAATGGGAGAACATACTTACTGATACATCTGATAAGGAGTTAATATCCAAAATTTTATAAAGAACTTACAAAATTTAACACCAAAACAAACACAAACAACCCAATTAAAAAATGGACAAAAGACCTGAATAGAGGACATACAGATGGCCAATAGACATATGAAAAAGATGCTCAATGTCAGTAATCATCAGAGAAATTCAGATAAAACCACAATGAGATATCACCTCACATCTGTTGGAATGGTTATCAGCCACTGTGGAAAGCAGTATGGAGATATCTGCCTTTTGGGAGGTGTGGGCAGGGACTGAACAAAAGCCATTGGTGACTTTTTCCCTGTTGCTCTTATCCATTTCTGGGGAACATCTCCCTTTTGTTCACCCTTTCCCTAGACTTGCATCTGTGTAATCTCTTTTGTGGTCTTATTTGGGTTTGTTTGTACCTGGGTCACTCTGTGTCTGCTCTGAGGTTCATTGCAGGCATGGTCTCTCTTCCCCACTAGACCACAGGTTCCAAGGACAGGAATCTGCTTTCTTTTGCCTGTGGTGCAGGTGGGAGTCCCAGGGTGATAGCTGACCAGTTCGATTCCTATGGAACTTGTCCAGGAGTGACTCTAGGACCACCAGCCTCCTGTCCTTCTGTCTGTGCCCTGGGGAGATGCTGACATTTTCTTTTCTTTCATAAAGCCACTCTGTAAAGGCTATTTCCCCTTTGTTGGGCCCTACCTGGTTTCCTGTCTTGGCAGCCTTCCTCTCCTCTTGGTACCACACCTGGCACCCCATCTTCAGATCCAGCCTGGTTCCAGACTTCAGTAACAAGATGAAATTAAGCCAGATATCTCAGCTCTCCCCTGTTCTTTGGGGTGGTCCATGGCTAGGCCCCCTATCATTGGGTATCTGCCCAGCCTTGTTTCTGGAACCCTCTTCCTCAAGACAGATTTTTCTGGATCCCTGCTACCTGCCTAGAGTCTTGAATGACACTTTCTGCACACCTGGTTTCTGAGTGCCACTGCACCTGTGAGGCACCCTAGCTTGCCTTAGACCCTCAAGCTGTCCTATGTTGTGTGTGAGTCCTGGGCCTGTGACTGCCAGGTTGAGCCTGAGTTCATGAGGATGGGCCATCTCTTCACACCTCTCTGACCTAGTCAATGTGCCCGACTCTGCATCTAGAGCGTCCTGGACTGCCTTGTCTTGGCCCGTTGAAAGCAATTGGCCCATACTTAGCTAAGGCTCAGACACAACATGTTCAGTGATCAGAAGTCCAGCCAACAGACATTTATTAAATACTTTTTGGGTTCCAGACTCTGAGCTGGCCTAGCAATACAGCAGCAACAGCGAGCACTGTCCCTGCCCTCACAGCATGTACTGCCTGCTTGTCAGCTTCTAGGCAGGCCAGGCCTGCTCCTGCCCAAATACTGAAAAATGTAGTCCCTTGGCCATCATCCCCAGAAAATTCTGCTCTACCCTTTCCCACCCAGTGAGCCATCCATTGTTTTAGCCCAGCTTGGTGACATAAACTGTGTCAGGGTAGGAGGTGCGGTTTGTTTCTTCCTTAGTGTCTCTTAGTCAATAAGCCAATGAAACAGAAGGAAAGTATGTCCCCACTATCTGCAAATTATACTGGAGGGCCCAACCGGTCATTTTCAGAGAAGGGACCTTAGACTCCTGTTGATCACAGCAATAGGTCGTTTCTAACAGCAGAAATGAAAAATGCCTTTCCCAGTCACTAGGCGCTAGCTAACACCTCAGCTTCAAGGGCAGCCAGAGAAAACTGGGCATACCTGGGCATACGCTGGTTCACTAGACCCAGGCCTCTTGTCCTCACCTCAGAAAGTGAGTGACAGTCACCGGACAACTCATGGCATGAGGTTTGGAGCCCAAGGACCAAGTCAGATCCTATTACTGCTACTTACTATGTGACTTTGGGCAAGTCACTACATATCCATGAAACTCAAATGGAGATAACTCAGATAAAATGAAACTATAAAGTACAATGGAAAATCTACTTATAATGCTACTTTATTTTTTTAAATTTTTTATTGATTATGCTGTTACAGTTGTTCTATTCCCCCCTTCATTCCCCTCCACCCTACCCCCATCCCCACCATTACCCCCCCTTTAGTTTATGACCATGTGTCTCAAGTTCTTTAGATTCTGTATTTCCCATGCTATTCTTGCCCCCCCATCTATTGTCTATCTACTGTCTATGCAACTTATTTTCTGAACCTTCTCCCCCCTTCTCCTCCTCCCACTCCCCTGTTGCTAACCCTCCTTGAGATCTTCATTTCTATGTTTCCACTCCTGATCTAGCTGTCCTTTTAGTTTGCTTTTGTTTTAGGTGTGGTTGTTAATAACTGTGCATTTTCTGTCCTTTCACTGTTCATGTTTCTTTAACTTCTTTTTCTTAGATAAGTCCCTTTAACATTTCATATAATAAGGGCTTGGTGATGATGCACTCCTTGAATTTGGTCTTATCTGAGAAGCACTTTATCTGTCCTTCCATTCTAAATGAAAGTTTTGCTGGATAGAGCAATCTTGGTTGTAGGTCTTTGGATTTCATGACTTGGAATACCTCTTTGCAGCCCCTTCTTGCCTGTAAGGTCTCTTTTGAGAAATCTGCTGACAGTCTGATGGGAACTCCTTTGTAGGTGACTGTCCCCTTAGCTATTGCTGCTTCTAGGATTCTCTCCTTCATTTGAATCTTGGCTAATGTAATGATGGTGCCTTGGTGTGTTCCTTCTTGGGTCCAACTTCTTTGGGACTCTCTGAGCTTCCTGGATTTCCTGGAAGTCTATTTCCTTTGCCAGATTGGGGAAATTTTCCTTTATTATTTGTTCAAATAAGTTTTCCACTTGTGGCTGTTCCTTTCCCCCTTCTGGTACCCCTATAATTCGGATATTGGAGCGTTTAAAGATGTCCTGGAGGTTCCTAAGACTCTCCTCATTCCTTTGAATTCTTGCTTCTTGACTCTTTTCTGTTTGGCCATTATTTGCTTTCTTCTGGTCCACTCCATTGATTTGAGTCCCAGTTTCCTTTTCATTGCTATTGGTGTCCTGTGCAATTCCATTCCTTTCAATTAGTTTCGCCTTCATATGTTTGTCTAATTTGTGGCTATAATCAACCAGTTCTGTGAGGATCCTAATCACCAGTGTTTTAAACTGTGTGTCTGAGAGTTTTGCTATTTCTTCATTGCTTAGATTTATAGGCTCTGGGGCTTTGAGATCTTCTTGAGCCATTTTTGTTCTGTTCACGCCCCCTAAGTACTAGGAGGGGAGCCTTGGACTCCCAGGTTGCTGGGTGGTGATGCTGTATGTGGGGGCATGGTCAGCGCGGGGAAATGGCGCCACCCTCTGCTGTTTCGCACCGCTGGGTAGGAGCAGAGCCTCAGGTGGTTCACGAGTGCCGGGCCACTCAGAGTCGCTGGGTTATGACGCTATATGTGGAGGTGGGGTCAGAGCAGGGAAATGGCGGCGCCCTCCCTGCCATTTGCCACGGGGACCGCTGGATCCGGGTCCAGTCTCCCACTCCCTCACTTGTCTATCCACGCACAAATGCGCGACCACAGTCAACCCACAGCCCTGCTCCCTTGCTGTTTCCCTGTGGTCGCTCGCTTGGTGGCTC